TTGCATTTGAATGTGGAGGAGTAATGCTTTTATGTGAGAGTTGAAAAAATTCATTAGGTTTCCACTTTCGAACTTTTAATGATGACACTCTGACATATTTGTAATTCTTTGCTAACTAACTAACTAGCTGCACTGATGTTGACGAAATAGGCGGGGTTGGGGTCATAAGGGGTCGTCCGACTCAGCCTGATTGGTCACTCTTCGTTTTATATTCGATCGGAATGTCTCACTAACTGTTACTGACAAGATTCCAGCTCCCAGTCGTCAAGTATAAAGTGCTAATTGTTAGCCACAGCTTTCCCATGTAAAGTCAAAACGATTGCTAATTGTTAGTCGGGAGGAATGTGCTTCGTAGAAGAGGATTATCCTAGGTTCTGTCAATGGCAAGAAAGAAATCTTCTTTCCACATGTGTTAGTATTTATTTTAGTAGTGTGATGCATGTAATGTAATAGATGCATAGATGTAAAATGAAGGATTACTTCTCTTATTCCAAAAGAAGTAACGTTCGTCTTACAATATAATTTTATTAACGTATTTTGTTTTAATTGTAGTGTTGTTTTATTTTTTTATTCAATGCTGTGCAGATGTAAAATGAATGATTGCATCTTTCAATAGAGAAATGGTGTTCATCTTACAACTGCACTGGTGTCCGTGTTTTATGTTTTGGTATAGTTTTATTTCTATTGTGTATTAGTGTTATTTGTTTATAGTGTCGCGCACAAGACCGGGGGTTCGGTCAAATCGGAACCCCTCTCTATTTCTTTCGATTGATTATAAACCTATGTATACAGCACATTTAAAATGAAATTTAGTATTTTTATTAGAAATTTATGTAATTAATTAATGCTTTTATTTATTCAGTAGTTAATATTTATTATTACATTTTTTGTACCCGAAAATCAAAAGAATATGTTGGGCGGCGTGTTGAGTTTGAGTTTGGAGCTTGATAAGATAATGGTGGACTTCTTTTGACTATACTGAAAATTTCTGTGTGTGCGCGCCACTGGTGTTTAAAATTATTGCAGTGTGTGTTTGCATCTTGTTATTTATACACACGTTAAATTTTTATTTTTTGCTAATTTTCACCGTACATCCCTGTTGCAATGGATTTTGTTGTGCAGCATGGTTCTTCTTCACAATATTGCAATGAATGGTATTGTGACAAATTCGATCGTTTAAGCAATCTGTCTTGTTCTCTTGACTGAAATTTTCCTAGAAATAGGCTGGTGTGGCCGATACACGTGTATTTAATCGTTCGTAGGGCTTACATAACTCTTCTGTGGAGTCTGTAGCAAGCCTGGGGTGACATCATAAATCACTTTTTGCTCTTTGTGAACTCGGCTTCCTTCCCTCGTCACTTTACCTTCTTTTTGAGTTACTAGGGTCTTTGACATCCAACCTTGGTCATTGTCATATACGACATTAATAAGATTGTCATTAATTTGAGCCTATTTCCTTCTGTTTTTGCATATTTGTGGCTCTGAAAAGAGCCTTTTTTTTAATTCAAGATAGTCCTTTTATCCGCTTACTTTTTAGCCGTCTTTTTAGGGGCAGCCTTTTTAGGAGTTTTCAACTTCTTGGGCTTGGGAGCTTTGGGTTTTGTGGCTTTCGCTGCTTTTTTAGGAGTCTTGGGTTTTGCGACTTTCTTTAGCAGCTGGCCTGCCTTTTCAGCTTTCGCTTTTGCTTGGGCTTGGCGGTTTTCTTTTGCAGGAGCCTTTGCCTTTTAGCCGGAGGAAGCACTCACTTTCTTGACTTTCTTAGCGGTTTTTGGGCTCACTGCTTTTTTTGGCCGGATGCGCACGCTAAGCGAAAGGATCCGTTTGCTCCTTTTTCCCTTGGTTTTGTACTAGAGTTCCGGAAACGACGGCGCTCTTCAGGTACTTTTTGATGGGGAGTGGGGGTGATCCATGTCGACTTTGTGTGTTGACTTCCGATGTGCTTCTTGATAGCGACGAGGGAAGATCCTCCGCGCTCTTTTCAAAGTCGTGATGGCTGAGATGACCATCTCAGGAAACTTTAGGGTGGGAAGGAGCAGCATTTTTGGGCTTGCTGGCTGCTCTTTGCCTTCTTCTTAGGCGTGGCAGCGGCGGGCGGTTGCGGAAACGGCGGCGGTTTCTTCGGTTATGTTTTTAAGTTCGATATTTTTATTGGAATGAGAAAGTGGCGCGATTTTAATAAATCGAAGCAATCTACAAGACTCCGCCCGCGTACTCTGATTGGACGGAAAGCGGCCCTACTCACCCTTCACCGCTGAGACTATATAAACCTCCGAAAAACGAGTCGATTTTTAATCTGCGAATTCGTAAGCAATGGCACGTACCAAAACGCCGCTCGAAAAGTACCGGGGTAAAGCCCCAGGAAGCAGTTGGCCACTGACTGCTCGTAAAACGCCCCTGCTTTACCGATTGAGTTAAGAAGCCTCATCGTTACAGGCCCGGAACAGGCGCTGAAAGTCCGTCGTTACCAGAAATCCACCGAGCTGTTGGAGTCCGTAAACTTCTGCCTTTCCAGGGTTGGTGAGGGAGAAATCGCTCAGGATTTCAAAACCGATCTTCGATTCCAGAGCTCTGCCGTCATGGCTCTGCAAGAAGCTGGCAAGCCCTGCTTGGTCGGTTTGTTCGAAAGACACCAACTTGTGTGCGCTATCCACGCGCCAAGAGGTAACCATCATGCCAAAAGACATTCAACTAGCTCGAAAGAAGAATCCGAGGTGAACGTTGCGCTAAGTCAAAGCTAGGACAGGAAAAAAAAAGGCCCTTCTCCAGGGGTAAAGAGGAAGTGATCACACTAAATGCGATGTAATTCGCCACTTGAACATCATTAACACACTCGGGGGTAATAATAATTATGTTTGTGGCGTCAGTTTCCCTATAGCACCTGTTTCTTGCGTACTTGACAAATTTTTGAATTTATTGTAGTACTTTATTTTGAAATAAACCACTTACCTTATTATGTTTATATTTTAAGTATGCATTTCACATGTTATATGAATTGTCCTTATTATTATACATAAGGAAAAGAAATATATGTATTCATTTCCCATCTCATTATAAAGAACATGTTTAAAAATTTCTTCATACTCGTAATTTGTTTACATTTTGATTATCGTTTCCTTTCTCCTGTTTCCTGCCAGTTTGTGAGAAGTCAAACTACTCCACCGGCAGAGCACAGAGACGGAGAGTTTTATGGCCTGTCCGTCAAATTTAATAGTTGAATAACCTGTTCGAGAGGGGCTATCGGTCAGCTGGTCGAAATGTCAGTGTTGAACTCGAATGCCTCGGGGCGTGGTCAGGCAATTCAGGGGTGTTTGCAGTGCGGGGAGAAAACGTCGGGGAGCGAATGAAATGTTCAGAAGATTTTTATAGAAATGTTCTTGTATCGTTCTAGTAATAAAAGTATTTTTTCTCCTCTTATGTTTTTGGCCTAGAGAGGGGCCTTTTCTTTACTTTTACATGAATGTCCTTTTTAAGCTTTTCTTTTCGGTTTTCTTGGGAAGTAAGACAACGGAATGTTTGGCAGTACACCACCTTGAGCGATGGTCACTCGGAAAGAAGCTTGTTCAATTCCTCGTCATTGGATAGCGAGCTGAAGATGTCTGGGGATGATCTGGTGCTTTTTGTTATCCCTAACCCGGCGTTACCTGCTGCCAACTCGAATTACTTCAGCAATAAATATTCAAGATACGGCTGCGAGGTAGACAGGAAGCTCCCACGCTCCGACTCGCTCAGCGTAATTTCCTTTTTCGGAGAGAAGACGATGGATACGACCGACGGGAGGTGAGATTCCAGCACGACTGGATCGAGTCTTACTCTTTCCCAACTGCCTCCTTTACCACGGCCAGACATGATTAAGCTTTGAGAGTTGAGAAACACGGTACGAAAAGAATTATTAGTGAAACACACGGAAATTGACTGTGTATATAAATGTGTTTCGGATAGGAAAAAACGGGCCAATGGGAGGCCAGATTTCACTGCGTCAGCCAACGGGAAACAGTTTTTGTAAGGAGTGCCTGTATGTACTATGTTCGACAGCGTGTTTTGCGGTCAGTTTTTGACCAATGGCTGAGCAAGCGATGCGTAATTGCCACGTGTCGGACAAAAGAAGTGTCCAAAAAATTTCAAGAGAGCCGCTCCTTCCCATTGTGTCCATTGTCAGTGCTTCCTGCGGCACGGGCGCTCCCCATACCAGCTCGTTAACTCAGTTATCCAACCGATTTCCAGGGTTAACGCCAAGTAGGAACTCTGCAGTCATTCATCAATTTTGGAACCTGTTCGCAATGAGAGTCCCGCCACCCACAGACTAATTGCGAACATCAACATTTTTACCGCAAGAAAAATGTGTTTCATTTGTCTGACAATTCGGTAAAATGAAAATTTCTCCTGCGGTAAATCCCACTGTCGTCGAAGATGTCAAGAACAAATGCTAAGAACACTTATTTATGCCTTAGGTAGTAAAAGATGAATTATTATTTTTCCTTCCTATTTATTCTTTTTTAAAAATATTATTTTTTATTTTAATTTATTTTCATGATTGTTTGAGTTTTTATTAATTGTTGGATTCACAATTAATACTGAGTATAGAAAATATTGTTGTAAAATTGATGGGTGCGAATAACGGGAAACGAATGAAGATGCTTGTAGTTCTAATTGTGCAATTTATCGGATTGAGAGAGGGAATTTATTGCTTTTTCTTCTCCCTTTCCCTCCTTGATTGATGTGAGTGTGTAAAAACTGTCATCTCGCTCTTTTCTATTTATTACTGTTATAATGCCCGTGCATAAATAAGAGAGTGTATGGGTTGTAAAATCTTGTTTTAGTTATTTATTGCTTTTCTAGTCTGATTTCGAAAGATTTCTTTACTGCGATAATGTAGTTTATAGTTGTGATTTTTTTAAATGTATGGGTGTTTTGCGTTGTGACTTGTGCAATTTTGTTATAAAGTTAAATTAAGTAATAATGTTTTCTGAATTTCATTAAAATTAAGCAACTCGCCTTCGCCAACGGCCATGCCATGATAAGCAACCGGTTCTCGTCCGGTCACCGAAGTTAAAGAAAAAGCATATCGGGCGCGGTCAGTACTTAGGAGGGTGACCACCTGGGAACACCGCGTGCCGTTGGCTTTTCTTTTCTTAAAAACGAGGGGGAGGGGCCCTTGGGCTGTATTTTTTGGTTTGTTCCGTTTCGCCGGTACACTGTTGTACGGTACGATGGTGACATGGGATGAGCGAATATTATTCCGTGCTGTGTATATAATTGTTACAGTGTAAATATGATTGAGTGAAGTGCAGGTAAATCGGCAATTTATTTCGTCGAAGTGAGTAACTTCCGAATGGTTAAAAATCCCCCCTTCTTTTTATTCCCGTGCTCCCAAAGTGTCTCAACTGATAGAAATGTTGGGTTGTAGGGGAAAATTTGAACCGGTTAAATTTCCACTGAGCCTATTATCCCACAGCCGTGAAAAGCCCTGTTAAGTATTAAAATGCTCCGGATAGAGGCGGGATGTTGTGCCCCGAGCACACATGCTTCTTCGTTTCGTTTTTACAAATTATGAATAGAGAATAATTTGATAACAGAAGTTACATACTCACCTTACTTTTTTTAAATTATTATTAAATTCGTTTATTTCTTTCAGAGACTTGATGAAGTGTGATTCTCTTTGATTCCATCGAAGAAACACACTTAGAGAGGAGTAAGTTTTCTTTTCGATCTTGTCACATCAATGCACATATTCCACAAACACATTTATCCCTATATCTTGATGTTGCTTGCTTTTTCCTCATATTGTTATGTCCACAAAATATTTTGTTCTGCTTAACACTGTTACACAAATCGAACTTTGTTATATCAAAAAACACATATTCTTTTATATTGTCACATTTTGTTCTTTTTAACACTGTTACAGAATCCAATTTTTGTTTTTCATTGTTATGTCAAGAAACACTTTATCTTCTACATAATATTTTGTTCTGTTGACCATTATTACAGAATTCATTTATTTTTTAACATTGTTATGTCAACAAACCCATTTTGTTTCTTTTATTGTGTTGTGCTTTATTTGAGATGCATATTGTTATAGTTTTAATTTCTTTTTTTCGCTTCGATTCCGAATTTTTTGGCCCTGAAAAGGGGGCCTTTTTTCTCTTCCAAAGTCTTTTTTGAAGGTATTTCAGAGCTGGTGTATTTGGTGCGGCCAGGTTCCTTCGGAAACTGCGTGCTTTTAGGTTCACCAGGCAAAAGTCGGACGGCCGTTTGAATTTCCCGACTGGTGATGGTGCTCTCTTGTTGTAGTGAGCCAAATGGGAAGATTCGGCAGCGATACGCTCGAAATATCGTTTTACGAAGAATTCATGATGGACATGAAAACGGAAATTCCAGATGTCAGAAGGTGGACTTGTTTCAAGACTTTGTAGATGTAAATGGCGAAAGATTCCTTCCTGCGCTTCTTCCTCTTTTTCTTATCTCCGGCACGAACGGCTTTTTGGGCCTTTCCGGCCTTTTTGACGGCTTTTCCAGATGCTTGAGGAGGCATATCAACCTAGTAGAGAGAATGCACATTTCCCCCTTTTCCTTGGTTATATTCCCTTTATGGCAACACTGCAGCGACCAATCGTGAGCGTGCGTCTCATTTCGGGGTGTGCTCTGCAGCATATAAGGCGTTTCGAAAAAATTTTGGAATCATTTCTCATACAAAACGCAGATATGTCCGGACGTGGTAAAGGAGGCAAAGGATTAGGAAAAGGTGGTGCCAAGAGGCATCGTAAAGTGCTTCGTGATAGCCCAACATCCGGGCCTCGCGAAGCCTGCGATCGAAGCGTTTATTGAACGTGGAGGAGTGAAACGTATCTCCGGTCTGATTTACGAAGAAACTCGTGGCGTGTTGAAAGTTTTCTTGGAAAACGTGATCCGAGGTACCGTCACCCAAGAGCACGCCAAGAGGAAAACCGTAACTGCCATGGACGTCGTCTATGCTCTCTTAAGAGACAAGGGACATTACCCTTTACGGTTTTCGGCGGTTAAAAAAGTACCAGTTCGGTTTTACAGGAAAAAAAAGGCCCTTTTCAGGGCCAAACGTGAGAAAGAAAATAGTAATATATCGGTTATTTGTCCTTCTAATTTAGTTTTCCGAGAATGATGTTAAGCATCTCTATTTAAGTGTACATTTGTTTTGATGGTTTATTAATTTGTTCCGCAAATTATACTATGAGTAAATTTTCAAAAATGTTCTTTTTCTGTGCTTGTAATAGAAGTGACACTTTACCTTTAAATAATGCATAGAAGCTTAAAAAAACCTTTTAATTTATTTTACTTATACTAAAATTAGTGAATTTGCATTTGAATGTGGAGGAGTAATGCTTTGTTATGGAGTTGAAAAAAAAAAATTCATTAGGTTTCCGCTGTTTTTTTTTATTGAAGTGACACTCCTGACATATTTGTAATTCTTTTGCTAATACTAACTAACTAACTGCACTGTTGACAGAAAATGGGCGGGGTTGGGGTCATAAGGGTCGTCCGACTCAGCTGATTGGTCACTCTTCGTTTTATATTCGTCCGGGCTGTCTCACTAACTGTGTTACTGACAAGATTCCGCTCCCAGTCCGAAGTGTCAAGGAGTGTCACTAATTGTCAGCCACAGCACCACGCCCAAATTAAAACGATTGCTAATTGTTAGTCAGGGTGTGCTTCGTAGAGGATTATCGGGGATTTCTGTCAATGGCAAGAAAAATCTTCTAACTTTCCACATGTGTTAGTATTTATTTTTAGTAGTGTGGTATGTAATGTAATAGATGCATAGATGTAAAATGAAGGATTACTTCTCTTATTAAAAGTAGCGTTCGTCTTACAACCCTGCACAGGTACGTGTAATGTTTGTTTTTAATTTGTAGTGTTGTTTTATTTTTGTGTCCCATGCGGAATTATAAAAATGAATGATTGCATCTTTCAATAAGAAATAGTGTTCATCTTACAACTGCACTGAATTATTCTCCCCGTGTTTTATGTTTTGGAAGGTATAGTTTTATTTCATATTGTGTATTAGTGTTGTTTATAGTGTCAACCTTTGCACAAGACCGAGGGGGTTCGGTGTCGGAACCCCCTCTCTATTTCTTTTCGATTGATTCATAAACCTATGTACATACAACACATTTAAATGAAATTTAGTATTTTTTATTAAATTTATGTAATTAATTAATGCTTTTTATTTATTCAGTAGTTAATATTTATTATTACATTTTGTACCCGAAATCAAGAATATGTTGGGCGGCGTGTTGGTTGGTTTTGGAGCTTGGTAAGATAATAGTGGACTTCTTTTTGACCTATGCCCCTGAAAATTTCTGTGTGTGCGCGCCACTGGTGTTTAAAGTATTGCAGTGTGTGTGTTTGCATCTTGTATTTATACACGTTAGTACATTTTTGCTAATTTTCAAATCATCCTGTTGCAATGATTTGTTAATGTAAGCATGGTTCTGCAAATATTGCAATAGAATGTATGCTTGTTTCAAATTCGATCGTTTTAAGCAATCTGTCTTGTTCTCTTGACTGAAAATTTTTCTAGAAATAGGCGCAGTGTGGCCGATGCGGTGTTAATCGTTCGTAGGGAAACACATAACTCTTCTGTGGAGAGAGAGTCTGGCAAGCTGGGGTGACATATAAAGTCACTTTTCGCTCTTTGTGAACTCGGCTTCCTTCCCTCGTCACTTTTACCTTCTTTACCTGCCAGGTTGCTAGGGTCTTAGGCATCAGCCTTGGTCATTATTCATACTCCGACATTAATAAGATTGTCCAGTAATTTGAGCTATTATTTCCTTCTGTTTTGCATATTTGTGGCTCTGAAAGAGCCTTTTTAATTCAAAGATGGTCCTTTTAATAAAAGCACTTTTTAGCCTTAGATACTTTTTAGGGGCAGCCTTTTTTAGGGTTTTCAACTTCTTGGGCTTGGGAAGCTTTAGCGGGTTTTATGCGGCTTTGCTGCTTTTAGGAGTCTTGGGTTTTGACTTTCTTAGCGGCAGCTTGCTACACACTTTTCAGCTTTCGCTTTGGAGCTGGCGGTTTTCTTTGCACGGGAGCCCAACACGCCTTTTAGCCGGAGAAGCACTCCTTTCTTGACTTTCTTGGCGGTTTTTGGGCTCCTGCTTTTTGGCCGGATGCGCTAAGCTTGGAAGGGGATCCGTTTGCTCCTTTTCCCTTGGTTTTGTACACTAGAGTTCCGGAAACGACGGCGCTCTTAGGTACGATGAAGGGGTGAGACGATCCATGTCGACTTTGTGTTGACTTCCGATGTGCTTCTTGATAGCGACGAGGGAAGATCCTCCGCGCTCTTTCAAAGTCGTGATGGCTGAGATGACCATCTCGGAAACTTTAGGGTGGGAAGGAGCAGCATTTTTGGGCTTGCTGGCTGCGCTCTTTGCCTTCTTCTTAGGCGTGGCAGCGGCGGGCGTTGCGGAAACGGCAGCGGTTTCTTCGGACATGTTTGCAAGTTCGATATTTTTATTGGAATGAAGAAGTGGCGCGATTTTAATAAATCGAAGCAATCTGAACTCCGCCCCGCGTACTCTGATTGGACGGGAAAGCGGCCCTTCCTCCTCCCTTTCACCCACTGAGACTATATAAACCTCCGAAAAACGAGTCGATTTTTAATCTGCGAATTCGTAAGCAATGGCACGTACCAAGCAAACCGCTCGAAAAAGTACCGGGGTAAAGCCCCGGGAAGCAGTTGGCCACAGAGCTGCTCACGTAGAGCACCCCTGCTACCGGTGGGTAGAAGCCTCATCGTTACAGGCCCGGAACGGTAACTTTGAGGAGAAATCCGTGTTGCCAGAAATCCACCGAGCTGTTGATCCGTAAACTGCCTTTCCAGAGGTTGGTGAGAGAAATCGCTCAGGATTTCAAAACCGATCTTCGATTCCAGAGCTCTGCCAAATCATGGCTCTGCAAGGAAGCTAGCGAAACACTACTTGGTCGGTTTATTCAGAAGACACCAACTTGTGCGCTATCCACGCCAGGTAACCATCATGCCAAAAGACATTCAACTGGCTCGAAAGTCCGAGGTGAACGTGCTTGATCAAAGCTAAGGACGGAAAAAAAAAGGCCCTTCTCAGGGCCAAAAGTGATCACACTAAAT